TCAGCTAAGACAAGATCCTTCCAATCAAGTCCTGCCTAAGTCAGCTGCCAAGGCCATCCATTAATAGTTATCCTTTCATGGCAAAAAGTTTTGTGATGGTTTATTACGCTGCATTTTTATCACAAGAGATAACTGACATGTACTGTCAGTCCAAAAAAAGCAAGATGTGATTTACATGGTCTTAGAAATTATAGCTCATTGCACTCAATGAGTACAAGTTACAAAAGGATCACTAGATGGGGTGGGGGGTGTGGATCAGTTACTGCCTGAGTCCCTTTAGTTCCCATGTCTGAATAAAAGTGTGTCTCTGTGCTTGGGGCTATTCTGTAAGCACAGGTGCATACTTCTGATATACTACAGATCCTAATGTCAGCCAGCTGCGTTATCTGATGTTCAATTTTAAAAGTATTCTTATCCAGATAGAGAGGGGCAGATGGTGTTGTTGGAGAATTTCTAGGTTAACGTTGACTCTACTGCCTTCTCCCTGTACGTTGACTTTGGCCCGTGGTAACCTCTTCCGATCTGACTCCATTTTGCCTCATTTACTTGTCGTCTGGATTCAGGTGCTTTATGTGTCTGCCTAGTGGAATTCACGCTGGTTTTTGAGTTGAAACCAAGCCTTGTTCTAACTAAATTCCCAGAGAGACAAAGTAGACAATGAACACGTACTATAATACCATTCAAATGCTACCCTGTAGCAACTTTCTAATTTAATGCTTATCATCACAATAATTTAACTACATATCTAAATGTTATTATTTTTTTTTTTTCCTCAAGAAGGTCTCACTCTGTCACCCAGGCTGGAATGCGGTAGCATCATAATAGCCCACTACAACTTCAAACTCCTGGGTTCAAGCAATGCTATAGCCTCGGCCTGTGAGTACCTGGGACTGCAGGTGTGCACCACCACATCCTGGTAATTTTTCTATTTTTTGTAGAGACAGGGTCATGCTCTCGCTCAGGCTGGTTGCAAAGTTCTGGCTTTAAGCAATCCTCCTGTCTCAGCTTTCCAAAGTACTAGGATTCTAGCCATGAGCTGCCATGTCCAGCCAAAATGTCAAAATTTATACTTTGAAATATAATGATACATTCCACATGAAGGCAACTTTGTGTATGAACATGAATTTAAAATCTGATCATTAAATGAGTGTGATAGAACTTTGGAAAATATTTTACTTCTGGGTTTGTCTACTGTTAGTTTACCAAGTGTACGTACAATGACTGTGTGCTCCAAATGTTGGATTTTCTGTAACACTGAAAGGGACATGTCCCTCAATGGAAGTAAAGTTTCTGAAGTAAATAATTGCAGTGGGATGATTTTAGAATTGTTCTAACACCTCCTAAGAATAAATAACCCCAACCTGCTATTATAGGTGTTTCCCTAGAACAGAGAGATGCAAACTATGACGTGTGTTTATGAAGTTATATTGGACCTTGACCAGTCTCATTGGTTTAAATATGGGCCATGGCTGTTTTTGTACTACAGAACAGAATTCAGTAGTTGCAAAAGAGACCATATGGCCCACAAAGCTTAACATATTTTCTACCTGGACCATTATGGAAAAGATTTTCTCATGTCCACCTTATAGCATTAGTTTCCATAAAGAAAACTCAGTAGTTTGAAAAGTTATTAATTAAAAACATCACTATAGTGTGACTGGAGCTAGTATCTCACAAAAAGAAAAGTTCTTACTGGTATTTTATAATTGGGCAGGGAAGATAGATTTGTGCTTTGTTTCTTGTCAAAAAATGAACCATGTATGTCATATTAATAAGACAGGTACTCTGTGCTAACATTAGTAACATCAAAGGAAGACAATTAATCTTTGTTGAGTCTTAGACATTATAAAAACCCGGGCTTGCAGACTAATGTTTAGGTTTAATAGACACACACACACATATTTGTTTACTTGTATTTATAATACAAAAACATTATTTGATAAAACATAAAAGTTAATTATTCTAAATTTGAGGCCCTCTTTCTTCTCACCAATATTTTTTATTAAAGCAATGACTTTTTTATGAATCTACTTTTATAGCTCAGCTTTTCATAGATATGTTTTTTTTACGACTCAACTTTTCTTAGAAAACTCAAGGAGTAGAAAAGGCAGTACTTTTATTTTATTATCAATTATTTATAAAGAATGGCACATTGAAGAAACCACAAAACTTCACCTACCATATCCTGTTATTAAAAGCCCTGTGGCCACATTTGTGGCACCACATCAAAAAATCAATTGCAGCTTCTACAGTATGTTTTAATTCATAGACGATTCTTTCCCCATGGACGGCAGTAACATAAATTATTAAAATTAGACAGTTTTGAAGAAAGGATGGAAGGATAAAAACTTGAACGCCACAAAGTGATTTTACAAACGTGTCACTAGATGGCAGCATCTTAAAAATAATAATATTAATAAAAATTACGAGTTCTCTAAAACTTCTCCACAATGGTCCAGTTAGGTATTTTTATTATTTAACCTCTCCGAGTAGGTAACATGATATGTATAGGTGAAAAAATAAACCCTACACGTGAG